GGGGAGATTCGGGCGGGCCCCCGGGTCCGTCCCTAGGGCCGTCTGTCTCCTGACCAGCAGCACTGGTGGAGGGGAAGGTCAGCCCTTCACACACACACATCCCGCCGCCCCGCAGATTCCCCTTTTGGGGGGCTGAAAGAAATCCAGTAGTTGGCGGAGGGGGGGGGGCGCTTTGAACTCCTGGTGGCCTCGACGACGTTGCCCAGCGTTTCCTGCCCGAGTCGATGGGTCGAAAGGCCTGGTGGTTTCCTTTCTGCCCTGGGGCAGGTCTGCTTGGAGGAGGCTCCTCCTGCCCCTCTCTCTCCCTGTGGCACGCCTTCTCTTCCTTTCCCCACAGCGGGGTGTGTGTGTGTGTGGCGCTGTTGTCTTCCCTGCCTGGTCTCCACGTCGGCAGCAAGGCTCTAGTCCTCAGTGTCCACTTTCATGGCCGCCTGAGCTTTCTTCGCTCCCCGTGGACTCTGCTGCCGACTACAGCCACCTGCCCCTGAATTCGGAAGGTCTGTCCACCCGGCCATCTCTTGCTCCAAGGCCTCCTCCTGCCCTGCCTGGGCCCCTTCCCCAACTCTTCCTGCTCTCGCCTTTCCTGTTCCCCCAGGACCTCCCAGCCCGTCCTGGTTGCCAGTCTCCGCCCTCACCTGTCATGCAGGCCCCAGCGCCAGGGCATCGCTCCGAGGGCCAGGGCTGCTGCTGCTGCTGCTGCAGGTCACGAGGGCAGCCACTTCTGAGCGCCAGGAACAGCCCTGACCCTGGATGGAACCGCCGGGCTTCCTTCTGGCCTGGATCCTGAGCAAGCACCTTGCCTCCCTTCTGGCCTTCCGCTCCTGCCAGGCTGACATCGAGGCTTCTTCCTTGTTCAGCCCAGAAGAAGCAGGAAGAGGGGCGTGGAAGCCTGCTCCCCTCAGAGTCCCCCCTCTCCCCGGGCGTTAGGATAATCTGGAGGCAGATTTGCAGAGAGAGAGAGAGAGAGAGAGAGAGGTGATGCTGGGAAGTCTCCTTTGGGGTCTCCAGCCTGAAGGTGGGTCACAGCTGCTGGGGTGGGGGCAGAGGTGTGCAGCTGCAGTGCCTGTGCCTGATGCCCCGCCCCGGCCTCCATGAAGCCTGGGCAAGCTGTGCCAAACCCGCCTGCCAGTTTCGGAGATGCAGAGAGGGAAAGGAGCGGAGCCTGGCTGCTTCTGCCGAGAAACTGAAGCCGTGCCAAAGGCTCTCCGTGGGATGGCGTGCCGGGGCGGTGGGCTGGACAGGACTGTGTGGGCAGGGGAGGCCCCAGGCACTCCGCCTTGGCCACGGCTTGCTTTGTGACGGTGCCAAATTCTCCAGAGAAGAAACCTCCGGACGAGATTCCAAAATGGCTGGCTGGGAGAGGGGCGGTGTACTCCTGGCTCCTGTGCTGCAGGCACCTTTCTGGTGGGAGCCAGGCTGGCGGGGAGGGGCTTATATGCTGGGGGGCGTGGCCCTGTTGGGGCGTCTCTCCCCTGCTGCTGATCAGACCTGTGGTTGGTCTCCTTCCCTCCATAGTCCTTTAAAGCAATCTCCAAACTTGGCCAGTCCCAACTTGGATTTTTCTCGGGCCGCCAAGCCTGCTGGCTCGCTTTCAGCCTGGCGCGAAGGCCCAGGGCACTTCCCCGGTTCTCAGTGGGCTGGACGTTGCCTCTTGAAGGCCTCTCTCAGACCACGGGACCGCAAGATGGGCCTGGGGGAATGGGGCAAGACGGGCTTCTCAGCAGCCGTTTTTGCCCCCCAGTAGCCGGCCAGCTCAAAAGGTGGGAGGGGTAATGGGGGACACCCTCCCCTTTGGCCTTTTGGGACAACCCCCCCCCCCTTGATGCGGGCTCCTGGTTTTATTGACATATGAAAGTTCCGTGGGGGAGAAGCCTCACAAATGAAGAATGCTCTGGTTCTAGTGGTCAGCTTGTGCGTAAGAAGTGGGGGCCGTCGCTAGGCTGGCTGAGACTCTGAACTGGAGACTGTGAACATGGTGGTGGGGGGGGGGCACCTTGTGTCGCTTCTGACCCTCCCAACTCCTACAAAGCATCCCTGGAGGTGGTCCGTCCATTTCCCCGGCCAGTACCACTGAGTGATGAGAGTGTTGGGGACGGCCTGGCTGTCCAGGACGGGGGGGGGGGCACACCCTGGCTTGCCCCATAAGGTTGCTGACACGTGCAGTTCTGGGTGGGGTGGGGACTGAGCTTTGTTTCGGGGTTAACTCGGCTGAGGTCCCCTCGTATCTGGTGGTGACCTGGATCTGCTGGGTTTGTTGGCATGAGCCCCCCCCCCCCCCCCGCCCCCCCCCGCGGGCAAGCAGAGCAGTCCCCAGCTCTGGCCGAACTGCCTAGCCCCCTCCCAACTGCTCCTGCTTTCCAAGATCCCTTCTCTTAATGTTTCTGGCCCGCGAGGTGGGGTGGGGGAGCCGGCCCTGTGCACAGAGTCCCGTCGGGCTTGGGGCGACTCTCCATGAGGGGCAGGGGCCTGTTCTCCATTGTCCTCCAGGCCTTGTGTTTGCCCAGCTCCCTGGCCCTGGAGTCCCCATAGAATCATAGAACCATACAGTTGGAAGGGACCTCCAAGGTCATCTAGTCCAACCCCCTGCACAAGGCAGGAAATCCACAAATACCTCCCCCTCCACACACACCTGCAGTGACCGCTGTTCCATGCCCAGGAGATGACAAAACCCTCCAGGATCCCTGGCCAAACCTGGCCACCCAGTTCCGAGGAGCTGGAGAAAAATTGCTTCCTGACCTCAAAGTGGTGATCAGCATTTCCCTGGGCCATGAGAACTAAGCACTGAAGCAACCCTTCCTGCCCTCCCTCTCATGATCTGCCTAAATTCACACAATCAGCACTGCTGTCAGACAGCCATCTAGACTCTGCTTAAAAACCTCCAAAGGAGGAGAGCCTCCCCACCTCCTGAGGAAGCCTGTTCCATTGAGGAACTGCCCTAACTATCGGGAAGTTCTTCCCAATGTTTAGCCGAAAACTCTTCGGATTTAATTTCAACCCGTTGGTTCTGGTTCGACCTTCTGGGCCACAGAAAATGACTCCGCCCCTTGCTCACCACCCTTTCTCCTCCCAGGGTTCCGATGCTCTTTCGAGTGCTGCTGGGGGTGGGGGGATGGGTTTGCTGTGCGCGCAGAAGTGGAGCCTGTGCTCGTGATCCCGAGTGACCTTTTGCCCTCCCTTTCCAGGGTCCAGAGCACCCGCCCAGCCCCTGAGCGGCCTTGATCCACCGCGCCCCGTCTCCTCAGCCGCCCTCCTGCCCAGGCCGGATTATGCTTCTCACGTTCTCCCTTTGCTCCATCATCTGGTTGAATCGTGGCTTCAAATTACGGGAAAGGGGCTGCACCTAGGTGCGCGGCGGGGTCTCGGCTCGCCCCCGCCCCCAGCCCTCCCCCCTCGCCGCTCGGCCTGCTCGGCCTCGGGGAGCCCATGGGGAGCGCCGAGGGGTTCCAGTACCGGGCCCTCTACCCGTACCGCAAAGAGCGAGAGGAGG